TGTGTGATTGGCCACATCAGATTCTAGACACAAAATGCTTACAGCTCCAGGAGTAAGACCTCTTCCTAGGGCAGCAACACATGAACTCCGCTTAACTGGCCTACCCACATGCAGGACCTTCCTGCTCACTTTTATCCTTGGATGCTCTCATGTCAGAGGGAGCCACGTGGCCAAGGGGATCCCACACCCTCTGTCATTTCCTGGCCAGATGTAGCCAGAGACCTTGGGGCTCCAGCTTTAGGTGATGATAGCAACCATCAATCACAGAAGGTGGGCACCAACTTTAGTCCCGGGGAATTCATCTGTCTGTTTTCCACTGTGGTTCTGGTGGAACCAGAACCTCAACTTGATATGAGTGTTTTGAACATATGTCTGAGCAGCTAGTGCAGGCTTTCGGACAGCAGGCGACCCTAGACCAGCAGCTGGACACACGCAGGAAAGTTGAGTTGTCATGTGTGGCCATCCTCCTCTGAATGTGTCTGTTCAAAGGGTGCCTTAACCTCCTGGCAATCCTGACCTGGGCTTTCTCAAGGAGGCCATGTGGACAATTAGACATAAATAAAATTATACATAAAAAGGACAATTGCAGTGGCTTGGGCTCAAATCAAGGCTCTATTACTTCCCAGCTGCGTGACCTTGGACCGCAAGCCTTGGTTTCACCATCTCTAGGAGGGCAGTTACGACATGGGTCTCACAGGGTTGTTGTAAAAGTTCAGCGCAATGAACACCTGTGAATACACCTGCTCACAGCCAGCCTTCAGGAGATGTGGCTTCCCCTCTCCAGCCTCGATGTGCCCTCTGAGAACTAAAACTATTCTGACCCACGACAGGCTGGGATAAGAGGAGACCCAAGTGTCGAAGACTTGGGTGGTGGCTCTGAGCATCCTGGCTTTGCCGTTGGTGCCGTGTAGGGTCGGGGTTAAGGCGCACAGCAGACAGATCAGTCACCTTCATGGCGTAGTAAAGTCGCTCCGCAAAGTAACTGTGGAGGTTCCGGGTGCATTTAACTGGCAAACAGGAAAGTTGTGTTAGCAACCAGAGGTTGTCAGCGGCACTGTGTATGTGTTTATTTATTTAAGTCTTGCCTCGAATCTTAAAGGTTAGCATTGTGCAAGTCCTAGCCTACTTATCTGTGCCCTGCCTCATCTTAAAATGAGAGGCTTTGTGTCAGGAGAGGTGGGGCAGGGAAGGAGGCCTTGGGCACTGGATACGGGTGCGAAGCCCAGAGCAGGCAGACAGAAGGGCGCGGCGTGGGACACACTGGGGCGCACGGGGCCGGGCTGGCCCGTCAGAGCACCGCTCCGCCCAGGGGAGCTCCTGGGATTTTACATTCCAGAGCCGCCTTCCCCAGGAGTCCAGCCACTCAGCTCCGGGGAGGAGCCACTGTCATGATGACCACTGGCCTCTAAGCGCCCGCTTTATATGTCACTTAGCAGAGGGCCCCTGCAGCTTGTGAGGGTGGGGCTGGGCCCCAGAGCACGCAGGTGCCCGGGCATCTGGTCTCAGGCTTGCCTTCATGCACGGTGTTTCAGAGACTCGGTGTCCAGGTGGGGAGGCTAGCGTTTTAACCCAGGCGGCAGAAAGAGTGAGGGCTTGGAGGGAGGTAGGCATGAGTTCAAACCCCACCTGAGGGCACCGTGTGCCCTTGTGACTTGACTTCCCTGCCCTGCTCTGTCCTCGCCTGTGGAATGAGTGATGGGAGTCTTCGAGGAGAAAGACAGGAAGCGCCCAGCACCCGAGGGCACCACATGGCTTCACTTTTTCCTGTCTGAAGATGTTATTCAGGAGTTTAAATTGGATCCAGGGGCTGCCTTTGGAAGCTGGGACTGGAGTGGGGGGCACACTTAGATGCTCACACAGACTGGATTTATCACGGCAAGGGTGGCTGGGGAGTGTCAGATGTCCCAGTTCACCCTGGAGACTGGGACACACGGTGCAGCTCTCCAGGCTTCCTGGCTGCTCGGCACCAAATGGGGGACCTCCTGGTGTGGAGGTGACCTTGGCTCCATCTTGGGATGGAGGAGGGAAGTCCCCCTGCCCTGGGGCTCAGTTCTTCACTCTGCACTGACTCCTCTCCCTGTCACCTCAGCTCTGGACCCCAGGATGTGCTCTGGAACGGGTCCTCCTACATGAACCTGACCTCATGCTTTGGGGAAGATTCTCAGCATTACCCCAGCATCGGACGACCAATCCCTCACTTTGGACCAATTGCACATCGTCATTTCTTCAATCAGCAGCTGAGGCGGGGACCGGAGCCCTGGCTAAAGACCCAGACAGGTGAGTTCTTCAGGGCTTCACAGTCAGAACCAGAACGTTCTCTGTGTGGCTGCCGTGAGTGAGCAGAGGTCCTGGGCCTGGCACGATCCTGCACACGTGTGCGTAT